AAAAAAAAAAAAAAAAAACCTACCTCCAGCCTTCTCCCGTTCACTCGCAAAGAGACAGGCCCTCGCCAGACACTTGCACCATGAAGGACGACTCGAAGACGCCTCTCGTGGCTGGTGGTCATGCAGAGCTCACCCAGCAGAAGGTAGCTAACGGCTCGAGTCCCTTTTGGTTTGTTGACTAAAAGAAAGATACGTGAGATAATCTCGCTGACACTGCTTTTGCGATCCCTTGCAGATGCGACTCCAGAACGGCAACGGGCTGTCTAGCAAGCCGCACTCGAAGCGAAAGAGAGCCAGGTCGTGGCTCCGCCGGGTCAAAGACGTCTGCTTAAAACACACCTGGGTCCTGCCTCTCGCTCTCCTCGCCATTCTCCTCGCCGCATACGCCGTCAACCCGACAGAATCCAACCCGATACACTATGGCATATTCCTCTCCTATCCGTTGCCTCCGGAGACACCGGGCGGCCCAGTACTGTACGGCAAGGGGAAGCTCGATATCGCCTTTGTGGCATTCTACACCATTGCGCTCTCGTTTACCCGTGAGTTCTTGATGCAATGCGTTATTCGGCCGTGGGCTCTATATGCCGGGATCAAGGGCCGTTCGAAGATCACCCGGTTCATGGAACAGGTGTATACGGCCATGTACTTTAGTGTCTTCGGGCCGTATGGGTTATATGTCATGAAGCAGACGAACATCTGGTACTTCAACACTACGGCCATGTTTGAGAATTTCCCGCATAAATCGCATACTGCGGATTTCAAGGCATATTACCTCCTCGAAGCCGCATATTGGGCTCAGCAAGGAATTGTGCTGCTGCTTAAACTAGAGAAACCTAGGAGAGACTTTAAGGAGTTGGTTGGGCATCATATCATCACTCTCGCACTCATTGCGCTGAGCTACCGGTTCCACTTCACCTATATCGGTCTCGCCGTCTACATCACACATGACATTTCTGACTTTTTCCTTGCTGTGAGTTTCCTACTCCACCGATTCCCCCTTTTTTATATGCTTTTTTTATTTTGGTTTTGAATTTGCAACTGACGGCCTGCAGACGTCGAAAACGCTCAATTATCTAGACTCGCCGATCATCACCCCATTCTTCGCCCTTTTCGTTGCCGTCTGGGTTTACATGAGGCACTACCTTAACCTCCACATTCTCTGGGCCGTCTTGACAGAATTCCGAACCGTTGGGCCTTTCGAACTCAACTGGGAGACTGAACAGTACAAGTTCTGGGTTAGCCAGTACATCACATTTGGTCTCCTGGGTTCTCTTCAGGCTATCAATCTATTCTGGCTCTACCTTATCATCCGCATTGCCAAAACCTATGTCTTTGGAAACGCACTGCAAGACGAGCGAAGTGATAACGAAGAAGAAGACGACGAGATTGAAGAATCAAGTACGACCGGCGAGGCGAATGGAGTTCCCATTCCAACCCTTCTCGTCAACGGCCATGCTACGAAAGAGAACATCGATCCAATTGAGAACGGATCATCTACAGGATTATTGACGAATGGAAATTCAAACGGTGCCGCCACGAAACGCAAATGAATGAAGATAATTATTTCTTTCTGTTTTTTTTTCTCTTCTCCATTCTCCATTACCCATCCTTTAAAACCATGAGAATTACCGGATGACCTGAGCCTTCTTTTCCATTCTTATACCCTTGAATTGCATAGCCTCGGCAGGTCAAGGTTTTTACCCTTTCCCTCCATATACATACCTCTAATCATGTTTATCCATCCTCCTTTTTTCCTTTCCTTGTTATATTCTCTTTGCCAGTGGGCATTTGAAAAATCGAAGCCCGCGATATATATATATATATGGGGGGCATGGGCTCGAAGTCTCACCTACGAGATCGGCTATAGCATTGGCGTACGGTTAGATTTGATTTTCTTATACATATTACGTCGTCTTTCCCCCTTTCCCCTTTTCAGGTTGAATGTACCTCCAGGGATAGCAGACTGCAGACCGGCTATCATCCCTTGGTAGTTTCAATATGCTCTGCTTTTCCTTTGAATGCTCAATGCTGATTGAACATGTTCCTGTGATGATGATTATTATCATTATCTATGCTTTCTAATTAATGTAATACAGGCCCAACCTCAATGGAAGAAGTGATGATATCAATCTAAGGAAACAAGTCAATGTATACTATCTGCATCTATTCTAATGACCTAAAATGAAAAAGAGAAGCTTGGGTGAATTGTAAGAAAGAAGGGTTTGGGTTCTGTACATGCTCTTTTATATCGGTTTTATGATCATGTCATTCACTATGTTACAGCACAAGGGTAGCAGGAATTGTAAGGAAAATGAACTGTTGTAGAGAATAGACATTCAACGGGCGGTTTGTCTCTTTGCTGCTCAGAATCCCACGAACTCAAGAAGAGGTAGCTTAGCTGGACTTGGTGGGAGGCTCCTTAGTAGGAGCCCTGGGGTTAGGAGTCTTGTCCTCGGCAGTAGCAGGTTCTTCCTTTTTCTCCTCCTAGTAACAAACAACATTGTTAATTGCCAGTCCCACCAGAGCTTCAAGGGACTCATCTCGCACTCACCTTTGGCTTCTCCTCCTCGGCCTTCTCAGCAGGAGCCTCAGCGGGCTTCTCCTCCTCCTTTGGCTTTTCCTCAGTCTCGCTCTCAGCCTTTGGAGCTTCCTCTGTCTTTGGCTCCTCAGCCTTGGGTTCCTCAGCCTTGGGTTCCTCGGTCTTGGTCTCCTCAGGGTCGGCCTTTGGCTCGGCGGCTGGCTCTGGCTTGGCCTCTTCCTTGACTGGTTCGCTGACGGCCTCCTTCACCTTCTCAACGGCGTGTTCAACGTGTGGGTGGGCATCATGGCCGGACTTTCCAGCAGGGCCAGACTGGTAGAGGTAGTATGCGGCTGGGAGGGTGAATGCGACGGAACCAAGCAGCCTAAAATCAACAAACAGAGCAATTGCATCAGTCAATGATCAGAATACCCGCGGCAATGTATAGAACTGCTGTACTACAAGCCGTCATAGCCACTAGTCGAGGTAGTGGGCTGATCCGGAAAACGTCTTTGACAACACACATTGCGAGACACCCGACAAGACAGACTCACCATGGCATATCGCTTCCAGCCTCATGAGAACCGTGAGCCTGGTCGGCATAGCCTCTTCGAGAAACTCGCTGCCATGCTCGAGTTGTCGGTACTCTGGGAGCCGAGATCCGTCTGGACTGGGCCCAGAGTGACCGGAGAGCGGGCGATCGTGAGAGAACCATGATGTTACCTGGTCAATTCCAGTGAATAAGCGCAATTGGGCTGGAATCGGACTCCTCGAGCGGGTGTAGAAGGTGGCAGTTGATGGGCTGAGTGAGATGCAAGACTGAGAAGAAGAAGCGAAGAAGCGGAAAAGAAGAAAGAGGTTGGAACAAGCAGTGGCCACGTGATCTGGTAGTAAGGTAACAGCCCATCCTCACTCTGGACAGCAAGCAGCACTTAAGATGCATCTTGGAGGCTAATAACATGTTCAGAGTGGTTAGCTAGATGTATAGAAGGGGCATTGCAATATAGCTAGGGTTATTTATATAGTAGATAGCAGGCGTAGTGACGTTTTGTTGGGATGCATTATCTGTGTAGAGCCAACGCTGGTTAAGCTCACTACGTCTCCCTCCGCTGCCTCTCTGTTGTTGTTTAACTAGTTAACTGCTACATGACACAAACAACGCCAGACCAGGAGGCCAGGACTTCTCCAGCCACTCTGAAGGACATCCTGAGTCGACAAGGGCTTCACTCTCAGTTGGTCTTCTTGTCCCCTGAGTGTCTTCCTTAGCTGCATCTTCCGGTTGCTGCCTATAAAGCAACCCCGCTATGTCCTTCTGAGTCCCCTCAGTCTGTCTTGATATTGAACACCCTACCCTCATAACCATCACATCTTGACTATCTTGCTACTCCTGCTACTTCTGTAGCCCTGTGGTCCTTCTAAAGAGAAGCTCTTCTTGAGCTGTTTCTTCCCCTGTGTGGTTCCAGGCTCGCAGAGATGGCGTTCCATAAGCAGTCTATCCAGCAGGCCCTGGGCCCGCTGATGGTCAAGCTCACTGATCCGGACCCAGATATCCGCTACATGTCCCTGAACGATCTACTGTCTCTTATTGAAGGCTGCAGTCCATGCTACTTCTCACAAGACCTTTCGTCATGCAACCGAATGGTCCAGGGACTGCTTAAGTCTCTGGAGGACCAGAATGGAGAGGTACAGAATGTAGCTCTGAAGTGGTAAGATAGACATCCTATTGCTCAGTCACTGCAACGAATAAGCCTGTTCTGACTCTAAGGGAACAGTATTGGGCCTCTGGCTACCCGTCTACCCCCTGACGTTCTCTCTCCTTTTATCGACAAGCTTGCCCTTCTCACGAGCTCTCAAACCATCGACACGTCTGTGCCAAACACCGCTCTTCGGATGATCCTCGCGGCCCTTCCAAGACCTAATATCAACCTTATCAATTCCAGAGAGGTACAGACAAGTTATGAGGCTGTGTCTATGGTCCTGATTCCACGCTTGATTGGTACACCGACGAGAGGTAATCTGCCAACCGCGGCACCAGGAATGATAGTGAATGACCCTGCAAAGGGTTTTAGCAGCGATGCCATCGATGTGTTGATCGATGTAGTGCGGTCTTATGGACCCATGCTAAACGACGAAGAGTTGTTCGAGCTCCTACAGACCGTTCTACGTGTCATTGAGAACGATCATGCTGGAACGGTAGTTACCAAGCGTGCCCTGACAGCAATCTCAATGCTCTCGATCCACTTGTCTGATACTCAATTAAGTGGCTTCGTATCTGGCCTTATTGAAAGCTTCAAATCTCCGCATCTTACTATCAACCGTCGCCGTCATTTGATCGCCGCCATTTCTGCCATGGCTAGATCTACACCCGCAAAGTTTGGCCCATATCTAAAACTATTAGCTCCTTTTGTGCTTTCAGCTGTTAGTGAGAAGGAGATGAATGAGATGGATGATGACATGTCCGACGATGGAGAGCATGATCCCAAGCAGGATGAGTTGCGTGAGACTGCACTGGTGTCTCTTGATACCCTACTGGGTTACTGTGGATCCGAAATGCAGCCGTACCTTAATGATTGTATTGCGGCTGCTTTGAGATATCTCAAATATGATCCGAACGTTGCAGAACTGGAGGAAGATGAAGAAATGGGTGGTACCCAGGACGAAAGCAGTGATGATGGAGCCACTGAGGAGCCCGATGACGATAATGATGCATTTGATGACTTTGAGGAAGAAGAAGGATACAGTGACATTGATGATCTGAGCTGGAAAGTTCGCAGATGCGCTGCCAAAGTTTTATACACCATTGTGTCAACTCAGGGACGAAACACCAGAGCTGTCGAAGACGGCTCAATATATCAGAAAATAGCACCCGCACTTCTTTCTAGATTCACGAAAGAAAGAGAAGAGAGTGTCAAGGTTGAGGTTGTCGCAACAATGACTGGCTTGGTCCGAAAGACGAGTGACCTGGCTACCGGACCTAACCTGTTTTACGCTGATCCATTCTCCCAAGCTCGTTCATCTCGAAAGAGAAGACGGCAAGATAGCAATGCTACCGTGATTGATCTCGAATCGGATTTCCCACCCCCATCTACTTCGGATACCCCAATTGCCAAGCCGTCAACTCCTCAGCCTGGCCCGCAGACTGACCTTGCAGATCTCACTCCGGGTATCGTTCAAGCGTTGACTAAATTATGGAAAGGCGCACCAATACCCCTTAAACAAGGCGCTATTCTCCTGTTAAAAGCTCTTGCTCTAGTTCGTTATGGCGGCCTAGCAGACTATTTACAGAGAATCGAAGACCCCATCGCTGACGCCTTGAAGACCTCTGGCCTCTCTGGTGGTGTAACAGTTTCTGCCGGGTCAAACTCAGTCAGTGCAGGAAACCTTCAGGTTGAAGCATTGGGGTTAATTGCTGCAATTTCTGAGACTCACCCCTCAGGCTCTCTCTCCCCGTTTTTAATTGCCCTGATACCTGGAGTTGTCGCTTGTGTGAATAACAGAGACTTCAAGGTATCTAGCGAAGCACTAGGCGCAATTGAACAGATTGTGGTTGCTCTAACCCCCCCACGAGTCTCCGTAGATGACCGTGATTTGGGATTACAGCTGGAGAAACTGTATGATATCGTGGTGGAAAAGGTGACCGACAACAGCACCGACTTGGGAGTTCGGCAGCGTGGTATTCATGTCCTTGGAGTAATGCTAAGTCGCACATCTGGGCCAGAAGGGCGCAGATTTATCACTCTCGAGCAGAGACGAAAGGCACTTTTAGTTCTCCTCGAACGCCTAAAGAACGAGACTACACGAGTCGCCGCTGCTCGTGCCATAGATGATGTTGCATTGCTTGCTCGCCAAAGCGATGATGTTGAGGCATCTTGGCTTGGATATGTCACACTCGAGCTCGCGGCCCAGCTCAGGAAGGTTGATCGCACCTTGCGCGACGTCTGTCTAGGAGCTCTGAAGAGTATCGCTATGAACTCTCAGACCAGGCAGTATCTCGACAAACACACGACGGAAGGCCTACGCGTCGCCATTTCGCCCCTTATTTCTGCAGACGATTTGCATCTTTTGACACCTGCACTAGTTATCTTCGCAAAACTTCTACCCCATTACGGTCCAGATCTTGTCAATGACAATATTATTACTCAGCTTTGTACTGCTGTTCAAGGCACTTTAACGGGGACGGCATTGAAGGCATATATCCTTCTCGTTCGTGTCATTGGTGAACAGGGAGCAGGTGCAAAGCTCATGAAAGCGTTGTTACAAACCGTCGGCGTTAATGGGGATTCAGCCGTTGTCGGAAAGGCAATTGGAACTCTCCTGGTCTACAGCGGACCAAAAGTTGGCGTCACAACCGAAGATTTCCTAACTGAGCTCAAGACAGCCCATGACAACCAACGCAAGTGTCTTGCTTTAGCCATCTTGGGCGAAATTGGCCTTAGAATGGGAGCTAAATCGCCCCTTGACCCTCAGCTGTTCATTACGAACTTCAGTTCTCCGTCAGACAAAGTCCGGCTCTCCGCGGCCGTTGCCCTTGGAAATGCAGGAGCTAGCAACGTGGATGCTTACTTACGTGTCATTCTGGAAGGACTAGAGAAGTCTAAGTCTTATAAATATCTACTGTTACACTCACTTAAAGAGATTCTTCAACACCCTGAAGATGTCAAGACCCATGTTGCGCCATTCGCAACTCGGCTGTGGGAGATACTATTGTCAGCTTCTGACGATGAAGACAACCGCACCGTTGGTGCTGAATGTATCGGGCGTCTGTCCTTGATTGATCCCGCAACTTACATTCCACAGCTACAGGCATGTCTCTTCGCCCTTATTTATGCTGTCGATAACGCACAACGCTAATATCTCTGAATAGGAATACTTGTCCCATCCAAATGCTACTATCAGGGGCACAGTTATTTCTGCATTCCGTTACACTCTTGCTGATTCTAGCAACACCTATAACGAGACACTCCGTCCGCTCATAGTCCCTGTTTTAGTCACAATACTGAATGATAGCGACCTGGCCAACCACCGCCTGGCTCTGACAACCCTTAACTCCGCGATTCACAACAAGACAGCTCTTGTTCTACCACATCTTCCCCAGTTGCTACCCGCCGTTATGGGAGACACGAACTTGAAGCCGGAGCTCGTTCGAGAAGTACAGATGGGTCCCTTTAAACACAAGGTTGACGACGGCCTGGAGCTTCGTAAGGTGAGGACCGTGAAGTAGTTCATCTCTATGCATACTTTTAGTTTTACTAATTAAGGACTACAGAGCGCCTACGAGACACTTTACACATGCCTTGATGTCGCATTTTCTGCCGTCAACCTTCCCGAGGTCTACGATAGGATTATTGCCGGTATTGAAGACGAACAGGACATCAGAACTCTTTGCACCCTCATGATTTCCAAGTTGATGACGCTGGCGCCGGAAGAAACACTTGCCCGACTTGATGCTTTCAGTAACTCATTCCGGGTCGTATTGTCCGTCAAACCCAAAGAATCAGCTGTTAAACAGGAGCTGGAGAAGGCGCAGGAGGCATCTATTGGCGTACTGAAGGTCAGCCGGGAGTTACAGATGGCATTCCCTGCTGCAGAGGCGTCTAATGACCACCACTCCTGGAAGAGCTATGTTGAGTGGATTTCAAAGGATTTTATGCAGCTTCTACGCTCCATCGATTAATATCACCCCCCCAAATAACGTCAACATGGGCAGTTGACTCGGCACTTCGTACTCCGGTTGTGGAATGTTCTCTCTAAGAAAGAAGTGGTATCCCAAGGAGTAGAAAAACGTCACGACGGTTAAGCATGGGTTATGTACTTGGTCAGGCGAATGTATGCTTTTCATAGATAACTAGCCGACTCAGTACCTGAAAAATTGCATCTGAAATGAGCATGAAAAGAAATGGCCCCAAAGCGATCCGCGTAATTCATAAGCCTAGGGGCCCCCAACACCTTCACCTGCATCCAACAACAACTAGTTAATGCAAGGGTTCAGACCCTGAGCGAGCCCCCGAGCTAGGTATATACCCATAACCACCTTGTAAGGCCTGACGTACATTCACAGCAGGGTCCAAACTAAAAACACCAGGATCACTTCCCCGCCTTCCGTTATGCGTTTGCATCTGGCCTGGCGATACATGTACGATGATGCCATGGGGCCTGGTGCTACCTCGAGTTACCTGCTGTCCGCGTTAACACAGCAGAGAGCATGTGATGGAGTCCAAGTGGCCATTGATGGGACTGGATGGGTGTCATCAAACTGTTTGCTTCTACTTGAATATATATCTACTCCTTAGTTTACCCGTGGACCGAGACATCAACCATGGATCCTCGCGATGACGGCCCGTCGCCCCCTGGCGGTTCCATGGTTAGGTCAACATCGGCCCGTTCAGTTAGGGGGGCCCGTTTTTCAGATTCTGCATTCGAGGTCGATTGATCATATCGTGATTGTCACTTAGCCAGCGGAATGCTTCTGGATAGCTAGTTACGCTCACTACGCTGTTTGTTCCAGGCCACTTCTCTCCAAGACGGCAGCTAACATCATCTTGAACGGGAAGCAAATTCAACCAAACAAGGACGGTGATTAGAACGGGCTGTCCAGGCCTTCATAAGATTGGATACTAACATTTATAACCATGTTATGTCTTGATATCGATGATCAAGGGTCCCACCATGGCGCCAAAGGGAGGCCAGGGGATCTCCATGCTGTCCTCTAGCCACTTTAGCCGGGTCTCTCGAAGCGCCCGCGTGGAGAGACAAGACATGTAGGTAACCCGCTCACGAGCCGATAGGACTAGCTGCTCCTTCGTTGTTTTACCTCATGGAGCGGTGAATGTGTAAGGACACCCGCTGAGGTCAAAACATGCAACAGCCCGACGAAACCGATCTGTACAACTGCGTTGCGCCCTGCCCTTGTTGTGCATGTCTTCATACAACTGCCAATGAACAACAGAGTCCCTTTAAACTAGTCTGAAACTGGCAGTTCCTCATCTCGCCAGCAGCCAGTCAAGACCGCATTTCCAAGGCTCGAGGCGTTGGGCGGAGGCTGGCCGCATCCCGGTTGCAGCGCCAGGGCGAATCGCTCGATATTATTTGCCCACAGAGCCAAGGGGCAGCATCACAGGCCCGATCACCACGGTATCACACTCGAACCGCAGGGCAAAGGGGGGCTTCAACCGAGCAGTCGGGTCGCTTTTTCGTCTGAGGCGCCAGGCTATTCGTCCAGACTTCCTGCGGTGTATAAGCACAGCACAGCCTCCGTCACCCCCATTTCTCCTCCGAAGCTCCCGGGGCCCCTTGTTCTGCTATTGAGAGATGTTTTCGTCCAATACGAGCAGGGCTAAGCGCCGCCCCCGTTCATGTTCACGATGGATTTGAATATAATCTCACTGCTCCTGGCGATGCTCATTTTTCATCATATTACCCTTCGCCTGGGAAGACGAGCGTTTACCGACACAACGTCGCAGAGCAGGCTAATCCACGACTTTGATCCTTCGGATATCTAACTATTTACACCCGCATCAGGCTGCCACCGACGAGCTGAATGGGTTCGTGCATCCCAAGGCAACGCAACGCCAGCGCAGAAATCACCAGATCATCCGCTTGCGCAACCTCCATCGAAGGACTCCCCTCCCCGCCCCTTTTGTTGCAAGTTTAGGGCCATAGGCGGCATTATCTAGATGCTCATGAGTGACTCGTTTTCTATCTCTCGCCGGAACTAGTTCGACACACTACCAACAATGTCGAACCATCCGCCGCACTATGGCAATGCGCCACATTATCCTCCCCATCTCTACCCCCAGCAACACGAGCAGCAACATCTACAACAGCCGGAGCAAAGGCCTTACTCGTACCTTCACACTCCAGTCACTCTACAAGGGCCAACATTCTCCTCGCCTGACAACCCCCGTCACACTGCTCCCTCTGAACAGACAAACCAACAATCTCATTCACAACCCAACCAGCCGGGTAACCACCGTCCGTTTTCGTATGTGTCGCCCGATGCTGATAAGATAGTGGATGAATCGTTATCGACGGTTTCGAATAACAGGAACGATGCCGATTATGTGAATAACCTCTACACTCACGTATCTCCACCTCCACTTTCTGAACACCCTGCCCAATTCGCCCCATTTGCCGATAGTACCACTCCACCCCCAAACCCAAGCCAGATACACCAGGCCCAAGAGCAAGAATACCTTCAACAACAGCAGCCACGGCAACAGGGAGAACAATATCAGCAACATTTCCTACAGCAGCATCAACAGCTACAACAGCAACAACATGGCGTAATCCCTCATTCCCCTATGGCAATTCCTAAGTCTCCCGGCCCATTGCCGGTAAAGCAAAACCCGGAAGCAGAAACTAGGGAGCGACAAGCAGAGGAGGCCACAATTGCCCCTGACAGCAACCCTTTAGCACCGCAGTCACCCGCCCCAACTTATGCCTCACATTCAGGGCCTCAGAGGATGAACGGCAGAAGTATATCTGCCGTTCCAGACATACAATGCCATACCCCCGGCCAAGCCTTCCACCCCCAACAAAGCGTCAAGGGTGGAAGCTGGTCAACTGGACTTTGTGAATGCTCAGATATAGGTGTCTGCTGCTTGGGTCTGTGGTGCCCGTGCATTCTATATGGACGAACGCAGCACCGCCTTTCAAGAAAATCAAAACGGCAAGACCCGACTAATATGCTTGGATATGAGTCCTGCAATGCATCATGCACTGTCATGGCTCTATTATGCGGATGTCAATGTAGGTTACTCCTCCCCTCGCACCCCCATTCGCTGTAGATATATGGTCTAACGTAAATAGGGCTACTGGCAACCATACAGCATACGCGGATAAGACGGGCATATGGTATCCCTGGCGGAATCATGTCCGACTGTGTCCGAGCTTCGTGCTGTACTTGTTGCACTCTCATACAAGACGAGCGAGAAATCAAAACCCGTGAGGAATCTTCTCGCACTGGCGGCAACACTGTCAGCGCACCTTACGTCGCTCCCGGGCAGATGACATTCAGCCCGCCGCCACGATAAAAGTTAATAATGTCTCATATGATTCCCTCCCTGTCCCGGCCCTTATATATACCCCTTTTTTACTTTCTTTTTTTCCCCCCTTTTCCATTTCATTCAACAGAGTGGTGATACTCTTAAGCATACACACACATATATATACCTATTTTTATTTACTATGTACAGTAATGTTTTGTGTGGGCCGTTTAGCCAGGCCCAACTTACGCGTCTCGGGCGCCTCAACAGAGTACTGCTTACTCCATGGCTAGCGCTCGCCGTAGCCTCCAGAAATATAAACAAACAGCCTCCCCTTGGGCCCCTTTTCGTCTCGTCTGCGTCGCTTCACCAAAAATAGGCTCGTCTTGGCATAAAAAGCTTAATAGATAAATGACTAAGCAGGTCCACTTTGCACGTGCTTCTTTAAACTTGGCTTTTATTGGCGTTGCTTGGCCAATCAGAGAAAGCGGCGGGCGACGAGGCCGAAAAGGGAAGCCAACAACCTTAGAAGACTCGCTCCGGCTTTCACGCAGCAGCGGCGGCGAGACAAACCGACCAGAAAGACGATCACGACGGCCGCTGTCGGGCTCTGCACTTCTCACTATCGCACCCGCTGATCTCCTGGAGCAGACGACGCCCCTGTACCGGCGCACGAGCGACCGACGGAGCGACCGCTAACGGTTTTCACCTCGAACAGTTTGACCCCTTCGACTCGCTGCTGACCGGCGAGGTTCCGCTCAACCTCTTCGCCCCGGCCCTTTGCGTGTTTCACGGCTGTCATGTTGGGAGGAACAACCGTTGTTTGAATGGCAGCCTTCACGAATAGCTCTTCGGATAGCCCAGGTACCCGGGCACCATGCCTTTGAATTATGGCTGGCAGACCCAGCAAGGGAAGTTCAACGGCTCAAGGCACCCATGTAGCTCGTTGACCCTGGGGAAAGGAGGTAAGATATACCCTCTATCTCGTTTCATATCATGCCATGGTGAAGTGGAGCGGCACACACACGCGTTCCTCTAGACAGCGAGGAGAAAACACATCAGTACTAATCCGGGGTTGTCTCTCTTTGATAAAACTTCTAGGCACTCTTGTCTTCAATGATACATTTTCCGTCGTTCTGAGTCAAGATGCCGTCTTTGAGCCGTCCTGTACCACCGTCATCGAACCAGAAACATACGACCCGTCAACGATCGTGGATGTCCGCGAGCATTTCTACGCCTCGACCTCACCGCAGATGTATGCTATTGCAACCGCAACGGTGCTAGCATACGTCCTCTCCATCATACTTTTCATCACTCCCCGTACCTTTTTCATAGGAGGCCGTGGCGGAGGCTTCCTCGGTCGGCATGGCATGATCAGTGGGTCGTATGGCAGTAGTTCAGTTATCGGTGTAGGTGGGAGGCCATGGCTGCAGAAGATAGCAGCATTGACAGTTGCAATATCACTTACGATTGCTACCGCGGACTCATTTGCGGTTGCGAAAAAACAGTATGAAATGGGATACATGGACTCCACAGCCCTCACGAATGAGGTTGTCAACGGTCTCGAATTGCGCATTATACGTGTCATATCAAGCACGTTTCTCTGGCTCGCGCAAGTCCAGACATTAATCCGGCTGTTCCCACGACACAAAGAAAAAGTCGTCATCAAATGGGTGGGATTTGCACTTATTGTGCTTGACACCGTTTTTAGCATCCTTAACAACTTTGTACATCCGGGGACCACAATAGTCCATCCCGGAAAACTTCGGGATGCGGTCCCTGCTCTCAACTACCTATTCGAATTGGCCCTTAGCATGCTCTATGCAGCTTGGATCGTTTTCTACTCACTCTCTAAGCATAGGTTTGCTTTCTTTCATCCCAAGATGCAGAATATCTGCCTGGTTGCATTGTTGTCTTTGCTTGCACTTTCGATACCCGTTGCTTTCTTTATTTTGGACGTTTCCCAGCCTAATATTGCTGGCTGGGGTGAATACATTCGCTGGGTAGGTGCAGCAGCAGCGAGCGTGGTGGTTTGGGAATGGGTTGAAAGAATCGAGGCGCTGGAGCGTGAGGAACGGAAGGATGGTATCTTGGGGCGCGAGGTTTTTGACGGAGATGAAATGCTTGACGTAACTCCATCAGAAGTGGCTGGATCATCTCGTCGTGGTGGAAATGATGGCGGCCTTAGACGCGGTCCAGCCTGGGGGCGCCTGGGAATACTATCACACAACCCATTTCGGCCGCGAAACAAACAGCGTCCCCGATCTCCTCATATTCATGAACGAAAAAGGCGCAAGACAGAAATTACCCCTTCAGATATCGAGGCATCTCAGGTTGTTGAGACGGCTCCACCTCCAGCTGTGGCCAGTCCAGTTAGCCGGGAGAATACAACTAGCGCTACAAGCACGCTCTATTGCGTCCGATACCACTCCGTGGGCACACCGTTAGCCTCTAATTCTGATCTAACACGGACAGGACAAGTTGAGAGGAGGGGCTCCGTAGATTTAACCAAACAGAGCACACTTCCAATGGGCCAGAGTGACTTAATTACCCCAGTTCCTTCCCGGAAAATAGGTATAGGCTGGCTTAACGCTGTCAATCCTTTTAAACGAAGACGTGGATCGCCACCACAGGAGGTTGCAACAGCACAAGCAGAAGAAGGAATGGCTGCCACTGCTACTTTAGCTACAGGCCTCTCCGAAGATCGTGAGAGTCGATGGAAATTCCCCCCAGCGCTGAGCATGGTAGCATCACATCTTCACCGGGACTGGATAGGCTCGTCTGAGAAGCGTGATACGGAGCCTCCAATTCTTCCTGTCACCGTTATACCGGCAAAGAGCAAGCGGGAACGAGCGCAAACAAACCCAAGAGAAGATTCCACCACCCCTAATTCACGCTTCCGATGGGGTGAGTCGCCCGGCGAACGGAAAGGGATAGAAACGCCGTTACCTGTCATGGTGATACCAGCCCGGTCACGATCAGCCATTACGTGGTCAACTCCAGGTCTGGACGAGCCTGGCCGTCCCTTTTTTAGCAGCCCAACAAACTCAAGCCCTAATCCGCACGCTCTTACCGACCAAGGGTCACCGTCTTCGATGATTTCATCTCCACCACAGGGTGCGAATTCACGGGACCCGGAGAAAAATGCCACCCACTCGGACCCAAGACATGTTCAACACATAATGTTTGAAGAAGATGAGGAAGATGAACAGGACGTTATATCAGATTCTCCACGATGTCAAGATGACCGGGAGCAACATGACCATTCTGAAACGACTGAAAGCACATCCAGCTCTCATTTAAGTCAGCAACCGCCGGAGCCACCCGATTCCCGGCCACATACCGGAGCAGCGACATCAACAACACGGCAACACTCATCATCAGACCTCGACATCAGATAGGATGTCGACTCACTTGAAACATATAGCCAACCTGTTCATTTTAGCGCGGAGTAATTTCTGGATATCTATGTTACCATTCCTTTTATCTTGCTATTTTCCCCCTTCGTTTTCTTCTTTGTCTTTTTGGGATGCGTTCAAAAGAGAAAACTTGACGGCCTATCTTCATTATGACCACAATTCGTGTACATTCATTCCTACGTTCGTTCTCTCCTACAGTAATCTCTAGATGCAGGACGCTCACCAATCCATGCAAATATCAACTAAATCGAGTCCCGAGAAGCTTGCACATGCCAGTAACTAGGTTCCGTAGAACGACATTCTTTCTTTGCAGAACGGCTGCAGCGATGTGGCGCCTCGTTTATGCCCATAAAAAACCCACGTTATCCTTAGTATAATCATAGCCTTGCATAAAACGCATGCAAGGAAAAGCATATCCGAATGAACGTTCGCTGACGTTAGCCAAACCTCGAAAGCTTCAACACCTTTTCCGACTGCGCTTGAACAACCGTCGACTCAACGCCGGCATTAATAGAAATGATAAATCACCTTCAATGAACACCCCGATCGATGTCGAATGTCAATCCCCACATGTTTGGTGCTGGCGTCAGCCATGAGCTGCCCGTGAGGGGCCCCGGGCTGATGAGGCTGCCGTTAAATCTAATCGCGCTGATAGTATCTAACGTATGTACCCCCATGGCCGTGTGAAGGGAGGATGAGGAGCTGAAGGGCCTGTTTCGCATATCATGTAGCTATTCTCTAGCTCAGATCTCTCGGCTAATGTTGTTATCTCTCTTAGCTTGACGATGTTGGTGACCTCGCGCGGCTCTGCCGCACCTGTCGTGTGCTGAATTATATGGCCCTCCCACAGCTTTACAAAAACCTCACCCTCACCTCCTACGGCCAGATACGATATAACGAGGATGACCTGCCGGAGGGCTACGGCAGTGCAAGCCCATTTTCCATGGGACTGAATGCACTGGTCACCCGTAATGTAGCGCCACTTGTTCGATCAATTACACTGCGCGGCGAATGGCGAGAAGACGGGTTGGAAGAACATGCTCGAGTTGGAAGAGTCCCGGACTCGTCAATGATGTTGAATATCTGTGTTCGAGCTGCTATTGACAAAATGGCTGGGTTAGAGAGCTTCAGGTATGCTGTTGTCATTGCTATATGCAACAACTTAACTATGTTTTCCACACTTGAGTACGCCCGCTACACATTTTGAAAGATACATTTAGCTAATGGCTTTCACGCATTGCACAGCTGGGAAATAAGTAATACCAAAGCACTGGAGACTGTATGTCAGGGACTTGCGCAGCTTCAGAACCTTCAGTCCTTGACTCTTCGGTTCCCGTCGAGTCGACATCCTAGACCTACGACTATCATTCCTCCTATGCCAAACCTACGCGTCCTCAAGGTCACAGACATAGATCCTCTTTGTTACCCAGACGATATCTCTCTACTACTGTTTGGCAGCAAAAAGCTGTGTGATCTAAGAATGCACTGGTCTCCCCGAATGCGGGAATCCCAGGAGCCGAGCGTGGCTCTCTCTGATTACTTCCGAAGGTGTATTTCGGCGAAATCACCCTTACGACTGAAAAAGATAGCATTTCAAAACTTCTTTGCGCTTCATCCAGGGGAATCAGGACCCGGAGTGACCCATAGTTCCCTTGAAGAGATTACGATGCTCACCAATTCCAGTGAGAACGCTGCCATGACCTTTGTTGAGGCTAGTTGGCCGGCACCAGGTCCCCGGGAAGAAATGTCGATGCTAAAGACATTTCGAGTTGACCGTGTAGAGAAACGAGGCATAGACTTTTTACACCAGCTTAGTCCCCTTGAAAATTTATACTTTGTCAACCCTTTGCGAGAACCAATAGACTATGTCAACAATTCAAGGCCGGGCGTCTCATACCAACCATCCCCTTCTACAACCAACTCAAGTGGTGGTAACCAATCCATGGCCTCCGAATACCAGCAGAACCACCCAACACCGCCTGGACCTGGTATACAACCATCAACTTCCCGAGCATCTCTAAGAGAAATGCAAGTTTCTACGATTATTTCAGTTCATGGTGCTACACTAAAACGACTACTCCTTCCTGCACGAATGAATATGCCAGTACCACTGGTTGTTAAGCTGGTTCATGCTTGCCCGAACCTAGAGCAACTTGCAATAGCTGTTGATGGGAATAGCCTTGAAGTAATGGGGATTGTACTTCCATTCTTGAAGAAACTCGAAGCGCTCCGGATTCTCATACCAACACTGCAAGATAATGATCTAAGGAGTACAACACCTACAGGGAACGTTCGCACATGTGGACGAGGGCAATCTGGAATCAACAGCAATATAATCAACCGCTCCCATAAGTCAAACTGTTTTCCGCGGCCTGACCTATCGCTTCTTCCTCCATCTGATTCACGGGATCTTGCAAGGCTGGTTGACATTAATGACTCTTTCCATATACAAATCCTTTCGCTGCATCTTGCTGAGCCAATTTACAACAATATTAAGATTGTCGGTATAGGCTGGAAGGCCTGGCAAATTGGCGGATTATACAAAGAATCGACTCCAACGCGTAATAATACTCCACCAGCTTCTGGTGATACATCAAACGGCAACGGAACAATAGCAGACCCCCCGGTTGGCGTGTCTAATTCGAACACAAATGGCCATATGCCTTCAAATCTGATGAATACCCCCTTAATGAGGCCAGAAAGTTATGGACCTGATAGTTCCAACCCACCAGCATGGCCAACACAACAGCAACAGTCCATAAGTTCTCCACCGGAAAACCGAAATCCGCTAGGCAAGCGGAAATATAATAGCCAACAGAACTCATCGGCTCCCCTTCCACCCCCTGAAGAAGCGTATACCCCAATAATGGAACCCATAGCGAAAAAGCAGCAACAAAATCGCCCTTCAGCTGGTTCAAATATAAGCTCTGGGCACCCCAATATCCCCGAGAATACTACTAATGGGAATGAGAAGTCCGCCTTCCCTGCTCTATCTTTCTTAGATGAGCAAGTATTTGCCCAGATACCCGAAAACCTGCGGCAGAGCCTGAATGACTGCTTCACGCAAGTGAGGGGCAATGCAGACCAACCTTTTGTGTGGAAAAGACACGTCAAACGTGTGGGTTGGGATGTCTTGAAACATTGGGAGATATGGGGACTTGATGTTCAGGAAATTTGAAGTAATAATCTGGCTTGTTATACCTCCTCCCTCGCCTTGTGACTTATGTCACTGCTATTATTGTCTATATGTCTTGTTCTATACCCCCCAAAATATTTTGAATTTTTATTAGTGCGAAAACCAAGAGTTATGATAGACGCTGCATGTACTTGTAAGAAATTACTTTGTGTTTGGTTAATTTCAAGAAATCTCAAACTTTTTCCTGAAGTCATATTCCTTGATTCTGGGGGTAGTATGGAGTACCTGATACGTTACTGCTACAAGGGGGAAATGAGAAGTTGAAGGGAGATAGGATGCTGGGCAGGGTCACATACAGCTCGCTTCATAAAGCACATTTAGAGAAGGAAGCCAAGTAAAAAAAAAACATTTGATATACAGTTTAACATTCATCACATAACTATATATATGATCAAAAAAACTATAGACAAACCCTCATCTGGAAAGGCATTCCAAAAGGGCGAGATTATCACTTGATATCAGCTTGTATATAAAACAGCCGTAGGGAACGGGACGCAAGGGGACAGAAGGCCAACTCATATAGACTGATGGTAAAGGGGCAGACACGACAATATATACAGCCAGACATATAGACATAAATCGAACAGAGAGCCTCCAAGCGACGTAGAGGCTAAGAAGATCAAGGACCAAAAACCCCGGGTCTACCACTCCCCAGGCTATCCACCTTATGAAAAGAGGGGGAAATAATATAAAAAGAAATCTGTCGTGCTAACCAATCCTTGAAGTAAACATCTAGGAGGGGTAAAAATGAGAAAATACATAGCAAGGGAAATCGTTACAGGAAATGAGACGTCATCCCACCGCCATTTGTAGCAATGGCAGCAATAGGGGCCTGTCCATTGGTGCTAGTACCGTTTGCGTTGTTGTCGCCAGTATATTGCTCTTTGAGCAGGACTTCCAACATGTCGAATTCGCCCACCATTGGGCCAGTACCTCCGAGACCCTGGTCAACTCCTGCAGTAGAACTGTTGAAAAACTGATCGAGTGGGAGGGCAAACCAGTCCGACATGCTATTTGAGTTTGCTTGTGTATTATTGCCGCTTGGAGCGCTTGTGTTGATAGCTGAGGGTGCAACGGTGGAAGAGGATTCATCCATTTCCATCTTGGGTGAGGTTGAGCTAGGGTCATAGTAGTTGTAGTACACGGAAGGGGGAGGAGGCATGAAAGAGACGTTGATGTTGGAGGAGTTGATGGGTTGGACGGGGATGTTGGCTAGGGGGTCATGATGAGACGTTGGGGGGGCAGAGGTGGGGTGGTGGTTGTCGAATGAAAAGCCGGAGGTGCTCGGGGTTCCGTTGGTATGGTTTTGCTGCCAACGACAGTCATTATGCTCATTGGACTGATGTTGCTGTTGATCTCGAGATTCCTGCTCAGATGTTGGTACAGGGGACTGGTGCCTGCTGGCGGACTCGCCGACACGATCGAAGGGAGCAAACCGCAGGAATCGATTGCGAATATTTGAAGTGAGCAACTGGAGGAGATCGGCTATCGTAACACTGAGGTGGACATCATCCACGACGCAGGTTCGAAGACATTCGATAGTTCGATCCTGTAATTCAAGGGATACTCTAACATCATCCTCTTTGGCACCAAGGGTGAAGGTCTAAAATGTTGTTAGCATTGTAAGAGTTTCAAATAGTTACGTGACGTAGTATTGACTAACCTTTAGAATAAAGATCATTCCAGAGAGGATTCTAAAATATGTCCTGACTGGTGCATGCTTTAGAATATCCCCTGGAACAAACCCCTCGAGTACAATCTGTAAAATCCGGCGAGAAGCATCGACAACTTCCTGGATATATGGTTCATTGACTTCATACTGCTCCAGAAGAACCTGGAGGGGAACAGTTCCAGCGCCAGGGCCGGTCCCATTGGTAGTTCCGTTCGTCGTTCCGTTAGCATGGTTCTGGTTGGTGTGTGAACCAGCATCATTCATTGTAGTCCATCGTTCAACGACGGCTTGGAGAGCTAAACAATTGACATATAGTCCTAACGGTATGGTTAGTAGTTGTTTATAAGAAACACGATGAAGGTGATGCTGCTTACGGGTATATTCGTATTCAATCGTTAAAACATTTCGCATTTGAGGTGGTACTGTAGGAGTTAGTCAGGCCATCCAATATAGGGTTTTCAGGAGATTATAGTGCGTGTGTACCTGAAAGCTTGTCGAGTTTTGCCTTAAAGTCTCTTAGAGAAGGGGTAAACTCATCGATCCGGTCTCGGTATTGGCCACTCTTGATCAAGTTGGTGGTCAGTTCCTTGGACAGGAAAAGAACCTGGTTGCTGTTATACATGATCTTGGAAATATCCATCCAGCAATCTTGCATCATGTCAATCATGTAATCCTCATGGAAGTTGGGCGACTGCATGTCCTCTGCACGCAGAGGTTCAGTGTTCTGGTTCCATTGTGGGAGGGGAAGCATGGATGGGATCCCCAAGCGGCCACTGCTTTGCGATACGTAGACAAGGATCAGTCGGCGTAGGCGGCGTTTCCTGGCCATCTCACAGGATGATTCGGTAGATGCTCGGAGGTCATTTTTCTGGTCGAAGATGCCGAGCTCAAAGGCAAGAGCCTGGGCAGTGCTCAAGAGCATCCACGACATCCGATCAGAGCGCCATACAGGTTCAAGCCACTTGTAAAATGCAAGGCGGCCTTCGCCTGGTCCACCTTGACCCTTGCCTGGATGATCATGGAAATGGTCGTCACCCTCTCCATCAAAATAATTGAGCTGCTGTGGGTCAACATCGAGCAGAGTGTTTTCGTCATCACCTGGTGGAAAGTGAAGGGCGCGCGGATGCCAGTCTGTGAGCAGCAGCAAGGCTTCGACGGTTCCAATAGATCTCAGCTGGCCACCACCCCGTTGCCCCTGTCCAGCGGATAGTGGGTTCGAGGCATCAAACTGCCTAGGTGCCGAGGCACCACCGCAGTCACCAAACTTCTCTTGACCCCAGAATAGACGCTCAATCATACCTCTAAGATATGACCACAACTTTTCATGGATGGAGTACGCTCGTGAGTTAGCACCGTTGCCAGAGAGTTTCATATGTCGAGAGGCAATGGTGAGCATTGTGACAGTCAACACTGGCTCTTCCGTTAAAAGAGTAAGATGTGTAGATGGGGAGCTATAATTTTTCAAGACAATGGGGGTTAATGGCGCAAGGTGTTCATAGTAGCTAGAAGTGAATGTTGTTAGTAGTGTTTCCATGTCGACAGTAACGTATGCAAAAACTTACTACTCGATATAGGACATTGCTTCATCCACACTAAACCAGCCAGCGCGAATAAATCGTAGTCTTGACCAAGCCCTGCGAGCCTTGCTGTAGTCGAGATCCTGGGTTGCCCTGGGAGGACTTAGGCCAGCGTCTGTGCCTTCGACAAGGACCTCGACGCTAGGAGAGCCACCCTTGTTCTGGCTATACCAGCTCATTCCAGCACCCTGTTGGGTTGTCGAGTTTGACCTGCTAGCTCTACCTGGTGTGCCATTCTGCTGGCCTGGGGAGACAGATGCGAACGTCGAAGTAGAGGACTGTCGTCCATTGTACTGGTATTCCATCTGCTGACGATTTAGGTCCTCTGTCCTGCCGGCAGCCTCAGAGAGAAGATGCAGGGCATCATGGGTATTGCTAATTGCAGGAGAGAGCAACTCTGCAGCGGTTTTGTTCATCATATGCTGGCCGCTCTCGAGGACATGGGGCGGCAAAGTTGGCCGCACAGCACCAGAAAAGCTCGCGCGGTGAGCATGGTACTGGTCCATCGGGATAGATGTAGGAGCAGGAACGGAGATACCGGTGGGCGGAATGCAGATACGGTGAGGAGGAGCAGTAGCATTGGACCATTTACGCTGCGCAGCAGAGCCATTGGGTCGAGGGTCGTTTTCGAAGGGAGGTAGGCTGCCCCGTGGATGCGAAGTCACCCCGTTGGGAATGGGGCTCGAGATGCTGTCGCTGTCCATGCTGGGGGAGACGGATCGATCGGCCACCATCATGCGCTTGTCCCGGCGCAAGACGCTGGCTCCCTTGTCGTCCGACTCCTCTGAGATTTTGCGCTTGCGTCTGGTGGCAGAGAACTCGCATCTCTTACTCTCGCGGCGGCACCTCACGCATGGGGGTGGTCTCGGGTTATCAACACCTGCATCAAGTCAGCAATCCACTCCATCCAAGCCGTTTATTATTATTATTATTCTTCTTATTTTTTGCATGGGGGCTTCCAAGGGCACATTAAAGACATACTCCCCAAATCGCACTTCACTTTCCGTTTCCTGCATGGATCACACGCCTGGTAGCCACGTCTATGCTGAGCCGGAGGAGAAATAGAGCGTCTGGGAGAAAATCTGGTATTTAGGTCCTGCGGCTGCTGCGGAGCTGGATTGTGAGCGACAGGCGAGGAATTCGGGACAGACGACGGCACTGCAGCCATTGGCGCCGGTCTACCGGCCATTCTGATGTCTTCCATAGCGCTTTGCGCCCTCTCTTTGTTGCGAGACGGTGCTACCTGTCCTGTGCCTCCTGGGGATATCGTCCTGGAGCGCACCCAATTGGCAGCCACCGTCGTCACAGCGGCGATCCAAGGTGTTCCTGCAGCTCAGACGGGACGTCCTCCTGCTCAGCAGCGCCTCTTCAGATGCTCTCCGGCTGCGTCTGCTGCTTCCGCTTCGCCTTCAGCTCGCTTTCTCTCGCTCGGGCACGCAAAGAGACACGCCTGAGAGGAAGAAGTTGAAGTTGAAGTTGAAGTTGAGGAAAAGGCGGAGAGAAGAAGAAAAGTGCGGGCGGGCGGCAGAGAAAAAAAAAAAAAAAGGTGGAAAAAGATGAAGATATAAAAAAGAAGCAAAAGCAAAGAGACACAACGACGTCGAGAGGGAGAAGCAGACGGCGGAGCAGGCAGAAGGGGACTAAACAACTCCACCAGGGCTAAGTGTCCAACCCCAGAAGAGACTTATGCAGATATTCTTATAGATGTATAGCCTCTATCTGGACAGACAGCGGTGGAGGCCCAAGGGGGGACGGGGGAAACCCCGAGATGCCCCCCCGGGTCTCTATATATACAACAGACAGCACATCAAGCATTATTATGACCACTGGCAGAGGCAGAGTGCATAGACTGACATCCACACGGTATTTGACCCTTGGAGGGGAGAAGAGCGTTGCTGCTTATCGCCAACATCCATGCCCGCAACGTTTCTTAAGATATTTTATTAACTTCATGCCATTATTATTAGAGTTAGTTACTCTGAGAGACGAAGGACCAGCAAGCTGCTTGCTCCATCCTGGCGGCTATCAAATTATGGATATAGCAATCAGAAGGGGGGGTAGGGGGGTCCGTTGTTTTGGGGGGGGGGGTCTCTTCCTCTCTTGCTGTTTGTTCTTCAGCATTGATCCCAGCCTATAATGACCCCGTATGCGCTCAGTCAGTCGAGCTCGCCAACATCAAGAGCGATCTGACCGAGTACAGCGTGCTATAAACTACATATGTTGCGTTCGAGACGCATAACTTCACGCTCACGGCTGGATATTTCCCCCGTTCGCCCGCCAGACCGTCCGTTGTTGAGCTACAATTTCGTCCCTCCAGCTACTGGCTCGCTGGCCCGTCTTCCTGCCTCCTTCTCCTCTTCTTCCTCCCCTGGCGGGATGCGAGTTACTGTTGCGTAATAGATGCAGGGGATACCACACCAGCTCAACAACTTTAAACGAGGAGAAAAATGTCAACTCGCACCTTTTTTCTAGAAAAAAAAAGGAAGAAGACAGACGAAAAATTTGTTTAGACTTCCTCCTCTCCACAAATCGGTGGGTTTGCCCGGACTCTCTGCCTGCTGAATGGCCCGCCGTTGAAGGCTAATGTACGATCCTGATGCACGCCCAGAAAAACTACGGACTGCGTGATGACCTTTTTCCTGCGTTTCTAAGTGGAGAAGATGGTACATCCGTCAAAACCATGGCATATTACATGGAACCCCTTCTCGACCCGATTTCACACGCATAACTATTCATTATACTATGCGCCATTCTCGTGTTAGCGTTAAAGTCGGACACTTGAATAGACTGTCTGACATTAGCTTGAATGCTAGCCTGGCTACAACTTTTTTTCACATTTCAGGCTCGCCCTAACAACTATCCTCCGCGATAGTTAGGGGGGAAATTAAACTCGAAAAACGGGTGCATCATCTGGGGTAGGCCTTCGCGCCCCCCAACCAATTGATGTCAAGCATTTCCTGTGACGTGAATCTTGCAGATTCGCACTAAGGACGGCTTTGGTAAAACACCCGGATCCATCTCCAGTCTCCATTTGATGGACAATACGAGGCCGCCGTTACCTCTACGAAAAGAAAACTATACACAGAGAAAGGGAGCAGATGCCTGCTAGGGGTGAGGGGAAAAGCGGGAGACAATCATATTATTCTAGCGCCCCATATTAGTGCCCCATCTGAATATGGAGTCCATCGATCGACTTCGACTCCAGCTCATTAACAAGTATTTTTGTTCCCTTCGACCAGCGAGTCAAGCTCTCCTCGAATCGCTTATCTCCTTACAGCGTAGCATTACGGGATGGAGTACTTAAGTACGTGCATATCAGGTGGACTGGCGATAGGCTTTTTTGCCTTCTCGTTTCCCAACTGAACTCGAGGACTTTGGCGGGATGGAACCATGGTCTTCGGGTTCGAGTTCGAATTCGAGTCTCAGGCCGCTGCCTAAGAAACATGTATCAACACCACGCCTGAGGAACGAGGGAGGAGCGGGAACGAGCTGGTGGGACACAAAATCGGCTCGCCGACAATTTACGGTTCATCTCTTGAATGAACCCTTGGTTCCCTCGTAACTGGCTGCCCCTTGATGGCTCTTCAATACAAGGCCTGTCCCTGTCCGCGCTTTGACATAAGCAAGAAAAAAGGAAAGGAATCGAAAGAAAGAAGGAAAATGGAAGAAAAAGAAAAGGAATGATCAGACTGACCATGCTATGCTTCCATCATCCAGTCTGCTTGGCTACATGAATTACCTGCGAACCTGGATTCGCCCGTTGCAATCTCCTTCTCCTTTCGGTTCAAAGTCCGGGGAAATTGATACCTCTTCCCTGCCCTCAGGGGCTAATCGGCTCCGAATTTCCTGAGAGATATCGGCATCGTCCCTCCACAGACAGCATATCGACTCGCCTTCATTGGTAGATCATGCACCTTCGATCCCGAAATCTGACCATTATTTTTCCCGGATACCGCATTTTATAGTAGGTACCCATCTACGGAGCATCCTCCGCATCTTCACTCACCCTCCAGAAACCCAAACAAGTTATCGAAACCCTGTATGAATCGTGTTCGCCCTAGCCTCTCTTGCTCTAGTTGGGTAAACGAACGAGTAAGAGTAAAAGAGAAAACGAGATGCTTCCAACCCAAATGCTCGAGAAAAATGTAGGAGAAAAGGAAGCAAAAAGCAAATTCCAGAACGAAACACCAGTGCTCCTCAAGTCTAGTCGAATCAAACGAGCATACGAAGCACTAACCCTCCTGAACGCCTCTAAAAGAGGAGTTCCTGCTTCCAATCCAATCCAAGTTTGCGGAGGGCGCACTGAACACGTTCAACGGTGAGATCAACCCACGAATCTCCCCGTGGCCTACGAACCACATCCAGGGAACCATGCCGATATTCACGTCCTGATCTGTGTCTATGCATAGATATGCATGGCTCTTCAAGGCGATGGTGGAGGGATGTGTGGATATACATAGAACCTCTGTACAGATACGGCCCGTTGCACGTCATGCCGATCACCACCGAAAAGCTAGTTAACTAGTCAACTAACTAGTTAACTAATTTCAACGTGATCCCCATAATCCCGAGATCCTGATATAGAACGAGAAAAGAAAGAGCCATGTCCCATGTTCCATGTTTGATGAACATACTCTGATGCCCTGAATCAAGGGCTTGCACCAGTCAAATCAAGATAATAAGATTTTTTTCGATACTCGAGCACCGAGCGGGTGTTCTGATACGTCTCTGACGTTTACAAAAAAAAAAATGATATAGTTCAAACACCTAGTTAGAGAACGCTTGCATCGACCTTATATAGACATAGGTACCACATTATGACGCCCTCCCGCGAGAACCATTCGCCCATGAGCCGCCTTCTGGAAACCTTGCGTCTTAGAAGGATGGCAATTAACTATACGTAGGTTTCAGTATGTCATGTTACCTCCATCGTTCATTACTTGCAGTATTAATCCCAAGGATAATAGAGTATTAATCAAGCGACAAAGACCCAGTCCATGAACTGCTGTCCCCAGCCACCTCATCTCTGGAAAACGAGTTCGTGAGACCTGCATAACATCCAAATTTCCACTCGTCTTCGCAATATCGGCGAACCCGTTTGCAGTAGCGCCAGAATTTCTGGGCCGAAAGAAGGAAATCGCAAGCTGGTTTGAAACGAGCCAAGACGATGTCAAGAGATAAGCGAGTCAGTTAAGGTCGTCGATCACACACACTGCTTCAGGAACAGCAGTACGGAGTCCATCTATCACATTATTCGCATGTAAGTAGTCAGCCTTCAAACCCTGCCTGAGGTACATACATACCGATAATTGCTCCTTCAGCTGGAAAGTTGAAAAAAAAAAAAAAAAAAGTCATAAATAGACATACTCCTGCTGTCTAAGGAATGGATTGCAGATAGCAGGCATTTACCCCCGCAAAATCCCGGACTTAGCTATATACATAGCTTGTTTCTCCGGACACAGCGTATGTCAGTTTGACACCGGATAAGAGAAAAGAGGTAAGTCGAAGGAAGCATAGAGGCAATGCAGTCAGGCCGTGTCCTTGGAAAATCGGAAGAAGCAAGTTTTTGAAGGAAGTAAGTATACACGAACAAGTAGCATCAATCAGGTATGTGCATAGTATATCAAGATAGCCGCATTGGTGCAAAAGTAATTCAGAGAGATAATGCAATGCTCCTCCATCCAAATCCTGAAAATCGAGGGCCTGCCAGCCAATCAATAAAACCCAGACCTTG